CTTCAACTCCCAGAATTCCCCAGCCAGCATGGCTGGCTGGGGGATTCTGGGAGTTGAAGTCCGCACATCTTAAAGCTCTGAGATTGAGAAACACTGCCTTAAACAGAGCAGGAGGTCCAAGGCATCTGATGACTTCTTCAAATCCACCAAAGGTTCAGGCCCCGAAGAGAGAGTGCAAAGCTTGCACAATGCACGGAGGTGTAATGCACAAATCTTCCATTTGATGGAACCTGTGTGCTTGTAATCAAAATGGATGGAGCAGCAGAGTTTCCCTCAGGGCCCCCAATCCTTAGCAAGCAGAGGATGAGCCGGGTTTGGCCGCCCAGGTTGCATCCTGCCCTTCCTCCCAATCTTAGATCTCCGTTCCCACTGATTGAACATTGCTAACTCAAGGGAGAATTGCGGGGGGGGGGGGGCTTCCCTCCCCAGCCCTGCCTTCCTTGTTCCCCACCAACGCTTTGCACCCTGATTTTCACTCCCGGGCGCAGCTGCCGGCTTTGATGTTCGAGTGTGAGCAAAGGGGATTTTGCCGGTGGCACGGAGGCTGCATAGCCTTGCCACGGCTGTTCATCTCACCTGGGGGGAAGGCTTTGTTTCACTCCCTGCACCCCTGGCCCAGATTTCCTGCCTTTGGGCTCCTGGTTTGGGGGCCCAGAGGGAAAGGAAGCTCGGCATCCAAGTTGCTGAGAAAGAGAACAGGGTTGCTGCAGGGAGGGGGTCCAAAACGTCAAGATGGCGGCCACAGCCTTGCCATCGAAGCCCTGCCCTAAAAGTGCTGCAGAAACCCCACTGCCTCGCACGTCCGGCCTGTGGCATTTAGAGCCCCAAGCAAAGCACGGCGCTGGCTCTTTCTTCCGTGGGCCCAGCCAGGTCAGCCCCGCTGCTGCGGGTCCGTGAGGAGACAACCCTCCTGCGAACGGAGCGGGGGAAGCTGCTGCTTTTGGAAGCCCAAGGCAGGGGCCGCAGCCGAGGGGCGATCTGATGCTCGGGGAGAGGGGAAGGGGCCCCCCTCGGGGCTCGCCCTCTGCACCAGGCCAGAAGGCGCTTTGCCTGACTTTGGCTGGGCAGGGAGCCCCGCGGACCCTGCCGGGGGCTTCTCTGCCAGCGTTTGTGGCTCCGTGCAGCGCCGGGGGGGGCCGGCTGCAAAACAGGCAACGAAACCGTTCGCACACGTCCTGGCTGGGGAAGGCGCCCGAGCCCAGCCAAGGAAGCTCAGCGCTCACCACAGCGCTGGATGTTGAAGGGGCAAAGGTTCGTGCCCCCCACAGACGTGGAAGCTCGCAGGGTGGCACGGGCCAGCCCAGCCCACCTTCCAGGGTTGTTGTGAGGAGGGGGTCTCCTGGCATGAATCCCCCCCTCAGTTCTGGAGGAAACAAAGCAAAGCTTGCGAAGAGACCACGCACTGCACAGCGTCCCTGTGGTCTTCACCAAAGGGGAAACCGTCCCCCACGTCAGCCTCACCTCTGGGCGGCTCTCAGGAATCGCCAGGGCCATTTCCTTGTCAGTGACAGAGAAGCTTTCAGGGCAGGAAAGAGTGATCAAACTTTAATAGATAGATCAAATGATTACCAATGATTACCTTCTTTCCCTTCTCATCTCCCCTCCCCTCCCTCCTCCCCCTCTTTTCCTTCCTTCCTCCCTCCCTCCTTTAAGAAGCCCACACCTCTTAAAGTTGCCAAGGTTGAGAAACACCGCTCTGTTCCCTTCCTGCATTTCTAACGTTTCTAAATGCATTTCTCCGCGTTTCCTAACCCTAACCCTAACCCTAACCCTAACCCTAACCCTAACCCTAACCCTAACCCTAACCCTAACCCTAACCCTAACCCTAACCCTAACCCTAACCCTAACCCTAACCCTAACCCTAACCCTAACCCTAACCCTAACTCTAACCCTAACTCGACCCTTAATCCCAGCCTGTTACATCCTGCTGCTGTTCCCTAGGTAACCACTAGGGGCGCTGTTGTAAGGTTCTTGCATCCGCCAGCAGCAGTCCATTCCCCCAGTACAGGAGCATCATCTTCCAGGTGTGATTGCTAATATGAGCGCCGGGGAGGAGTCAGTGCCACAGCTTCTCCGCCCGCCTGCTGAGCAAACTGCCCGGATGGGTCTACGAAGTCAGTCATAATGACCAGAACAACAACAACAATCTGGAGTCAAGCAGGATTAACAGAGGGCTTTACCATTTTAGACAGATTAAGCCCAGCTCATCAAAGCTAAACAGAGTTGGACTGGATGGGAGACCACCAGGAAATACCACCAGCTAGATAGTTGAAAATACATCCTGGAAGAAGGCAATGGTGAACCAACTTTACTTTGACCAGGATATATCAGCCAGGCAAATTCATGAATTCACTGTATAGGAAGGGGAAAGGAGCAAGTTTGCTCTGCTTTATAACCTTCCCGAATCAGATGCCTTGAGATACATTGGCACTGCCCTCCAAGGATTCTGGGAATTGCAGTCCCCAAACTGTTGGAGGGCTTCAGGTTGGAGTCACTTATTTACTATCTGACTGATCAAACAAAGCTTCCATTTAGTTTTTTCCTCC